GAGGAAAACATATTCTTCTTTACAAATTAAATATATAAGTATGTATGTTTATTTTCCCCAATGCATTTTTTTTCTTTGAAATAATGATAATTCTTTGGAGAGACCCTTGGGGCTTAAGAACATCAGCTTTTACACAGAGCCAGATGCCAGATCCTTATTATTGTGACTTTTTTTTCTTTCAAAAAGCAGGATAAGCTAAATCTTGACAGGTGAGGCATTCAGTTAAAAGAAGATTAAATTTGTTTTTTTTGCATTCGCTAGGATAGGATGAGGGAAGAGTTAGTCAATACCTTTCCTGGGTCCAGCTGCCTCTCTCTCACTCACCTTTGGTAAGGCTTCTCTGAGACTCTTGGACTTCCAGCCATACAATTGTATGAAAGGAAAGGAAACGTCAGTTCAATCCAAAATATTGGGCTTCCGTGGTGGCGCAGTGTTTGGGAGTCTGCCTGCCCATGCAGGGGACACGGGTTCGTCTCCCGGTCCGGAAGGATCCCACATGTCGCGGAGCGGCTGGGCCCGTGAGCCATGGCCGCTGAGCCTGCGCCTCCGGAGCCTGTGCTCCGCAACGGGAGACGCCGCAGCAGTGGGAGGCCCGCGTACCGCTAAAAAAAAAAAAAAAGAAAAAAAAATATCCCAGTGGATTTTCTTTAACACTGGGATCTCCAATGATGAACTTTCCTCAAAGCTTTTGCCTCTCCTAGTTTAGGGTGGCAGGTAGAAAGATGGGCAGAGGTCCAGAGGCCAGAGATAAGCTGTTTTGTTCCCTTTCCTGCCCAGCAATTTTAGGCCCCTTGAAGACACAGTTCTGAGCCATAATGTGTGTATGGTGATGTGTGCTGGGGTAGAAGCAGAGCTTCAGAGTCCTAAAAAGGCTTCCTCCACATGTCCCTGAGGATGTGATTGTCATGCTGGCTTTGTTGTAAACACAGCAAAGACCAAGAAATAATTTATTGTTTCTCCTTAAAATTCTGGAGACTCCAGAACTCAACCCAGGCAAATCCACTCTAAGCCACTTAAGGCAATCAAGACCAGTGTGTATGTGCTTTGAAAGTTTTCCCACAAGCGGCAAAGTCTAACAGGCAGGTGTTCCTGTTTGTTCAAACTTGGCGAAATTCCCCAAGGGAACGAGGGCCCTGAGGATTATCGGAACCCAGCTTACATCCAACAGTGAGAGTCGTGGAGCCAGTCCCGAGAGAGGCACCTTCCTCCCCTGTAGGAAGCCCAGACGAGGACAGCGGGGAGCCCAACTATGTGAATGGGAACGTGGCAGCCACCAAAGCCTAGAGAAGCCCTGGAGGAAGGAGCCAGGGAACCATATACCACCTCCCTAGGGGCCCTCCTCCAGAGCTGCTCAACTTTTTTTTTTTTTTTTGTAGTATGATGTTTTAAATGTGGTTAAGGGGATGCAACTGCCCTGAGTCCTGGGCATCTGACTACAGCGGGAGCCGCCCTCGGCCTCAGGCTCCTGCCTTGGTCTTGGGAGCCAGTCAGAGGGCGGCTCCATGCGTAACTGTCCTTTCCTGGGCTGGGTACACCGTGGCTGGCTGGCTGGTCCTCAGGACGCATTGGTGTTCCTCTCGAGTAGCCGTAGGGGGTCTAGAAGTTGAGCAGCTCTGGAGAAGGGAATCTCAGTTTTGATTTCTCCCTCCCTCGTTCCTCTCTCGTTCCTGCCTTCCCTCCCTCCCTCCCAAAGACAATGCAGACAGGAGAATAATAGCTGTAATTACACTTTGAGTTCTCCAGAGGTAAAGAATTATTATTACTTTAACAACTAGCTACCAATATAGATGATAGATAGATAGATGTTGCATATTGTCTATATTCATATACATCAAATTAATATATATAGTTTGCACATATATATCCTGAAAGCTGTTGAAATGTCTTGTCTATCTTGTGGTAAGGATAATGACACAATAAATGATTCCAAAAGGTACTGGCTTAAATACCAAATAATTTAAAAAATATCTTTGGAAGATTGATTAAAACCCTTGATTTTTAAAAATTCTTAATTTTAAATTATTTTGGAGAAATGATCCCCTTTGATAATGTTGCACAGAGTAACACGAACTAAAGGATATTGCATTGTGCCATTCTACAATTCTGTCCAAGAAAATGTGTCTTCTCTCTCCATGCCAAATCAGCTCCCTAACATGCTTTGGACTAAGAATTTGTGCATTGTTGCAATTAATCATAAATTCTGTTAATTTTAAGATAATTATTTTTATTATATACTTTGAAATTTGCTCCTTATTATAAGAGAGTTAATTCACTTTGACCCTTACACTTTATTCCTCAGGTAGAGAATGTGTGTGCCAGTTCAGCGGACATGAAGACATTTGAATTCAGCTAAGTCAGGTTCAGTCATCTCGAAACTGCTCCCCTGAGTAGCTAACACACTGCTTAACTGATTAACTAGAACTAGAGGAAGTTAATCTGGAATTTGCCAAGGACTGGGTGGAGTTCTTAGATAAGAACTCCAAGATGATATGAAAGTTCATGTTCTTTTTCGATTGGAAAACAGCAAAAGCTTTACTAATCTAAAAAAGAAAAAAAAATAAAAACTTTCCCTAGATAGAGATAAAATCCTGATAAACATGATAGAGAAGGAAAAAGGAATAATAACTTTTTAAAACTAGCTTTAGATGTAGATGAGCTCAGAATGTGTATGTTTTTGTTTTTATTTCAAAATGTGTTTGTTTCTATTTCAAGCTGTTGCTTCCTCTCATAGGCTGTGCAGTACCAAACGGTTGGTTTTGTGCTTTTTCCCCGCCCTGCAATGCTGGGTCCCCAAATTTGACCCTGTTGCTTTTTATGTTATTACCAGTTATATCCAGAGGGGTGGGAGTGTACATTGATCAGGGCTTTTTAGAATAAATCTTGTAGGTCTGAAGAGCTGAGAGTTCTATGGGAAATAAGGGCTAAACAGGATTTATAAATCCAGGTGTGTTGCTGCTGTGGTCTTCAGCCTTCCCCTGACAAGAATGGAAATTGAGAAGTTAGTTCAAGAAATAGAAAGTAAAACTGTTAAAGCTGTTTGAAAGAAAACGACTCGGGGGTTGATTTTCACAGGATCTGTGTTGGGTCACTGCCCTCTGTCGGCTCCCCTGGATAGTGCAATGGGTGGGACAGAGACCCTGAGGGGTCCTTTTGTTGGTTTTCTTACTGGTACAGAATTCAAATGCTAGAAACTTCTTGAGACCCCAAGGTGAGAATTGTGACTTCAAAGCCTCCCTCTTGCTGGGGTTACAGGCACCGCCCTTATGGGGAGATAGCATGGTTGTTTACCTGGAAAATGTCACAATAGAAGGCCATGTATTAGGTAGAAATGTTACTTAGATGTTAACTTGGTCAGTGAACTCCTTTTCTAACTTCCCCAGACCTCTTTTCATGCCAGGAGACAGTTGTAAAGAGAAAAGAGTACTGCTCTTCTCTAAGTCTAAAGGTGTTCATTCCAGTTACAGCACTGCTGCTTGTGAGCTGGGGGCCCTGGGGTGAGTCATTCAGCTTCCTGCTCGCCTGTTTCTCCGCCACCTCTTGGGTGGTAGTAAGGACCAAATGAAATGTGTGTGGAGGTGGTTTGCCCTTGCAGTCATAAAGCATGGGTATTAGTAATAAGAGTAAGAATACAGACATCATTTTCTCATTCAAAGGACTGAGGATTGGAAAGTAAAAGGAATCACCCTGGGTTTCCGGCTGCCTCCACTTTTGAGGTCCTGGGAGGAATTCTGACCTAAAGAGAATAGACTCTGGAGTCAGACAGACATGGATACAAACACCATCACTGTGGCCCTTGCAGATCACTTATGTGCTCTATGCTTCTATTCTGTTGGCCAAGTGAGGACAGTGTGGATGCAATAAATAAATTACATCTCTAAACTTCATCACAGAGACCAGAGTTACAAGAAACACTTGTCATCCAAGGATAAATGGTAGCAGCAAAAGGTCAAAGTGAATTAACTCTCTTATAATAAGGAGCAAATTTCAAAGTATATAATAAAAATAATTATCTTAAAGTTAATAGAATTTATGATTAATTGCAACAATGCACAAATTCTTAGTCCAAAGAATGTTAGGGAGCTGATTTGGCATGGAGAGAGAAGACACATTTTCTTGGACAAAATTGTAGAATGGCACAATGCAGTATCCTTTAGTTCATGTTACTCTGTGCAACACTATCAAAGGGGATCATTTTTTCAAAATAATTTAAAATTAAGAATTTTTAAAAATCAAGGGTTTTAATCAATCTTCCAAAGAGATTTTTAAAAATTCTTTGGTATTTAAGCCAGTACCTTTTGGAATCATTTATTGTGTCATCATCCTTACACATTTTCTCTTCTTTTATTCTTCAGTTTTTACCTAGTCTCTTGATATGTGAATATACATGAGATTGGAACAGTTCTCCAACTTCACTTTTATCAATGTCATGAAATTCTGCTTTTGCAAGAATTGCAATTTCATTTTGCCACCTAGTTGCTTTGCATTGTCAGATGTTTATGTTATATAATAAGTAAGAGACAGACTGTAAAATTTTGATTGGTTGATCAAGGATAGTCATTCAAGCAAAGATGGGAAGGTTGAGAGATGAGAAACAGTTATCCCAGGTTGGGGGACAGTATTGACAGGGAGGTGACAAAAGTGAGCCTCCTGAAATGTTGGAAATGTTTTATATTTTGACATGGGTGGTGGTTACATGGGTGTATGTAAAAATTAACTGATCTAGACTCTTAAGATGCGTATACTTTGTGTGTAAATTAAACGTATAGGTGTAATTTATATGTTATACATGTTACATTTTACATATACATATAACTATATATAATAAAGGAAAAAGCTAGCAGTGAGTAAAAATTCTGTTGCTGAGGAACCTAGACCTTCAGATGCAAATATTTTTAATTTTTAACAAAGTATCTATATTTCACTAGGGACAGAAAAGCCTAAAAATATTATCTTTGGATTTAAAAAAGGCTGAAAAGACATTTAACAAAATGTTAGGGAATTCCCTGGTGGTCCAGTGGTTAGGAATCTGCGCTTTTGCTGCAGAGGGCTCAGGTTCAATCCCTGGTCGGGGAACTAAGATCCCACAAGCCGTGCGGCACAGCCAAAAAAAACAAAAGAAAATGTTAATAATGGGATTGTGTGTTATTTTTATGGTCTTCTTTATACTTTTCAATATTTTTTCAATTTTCTATGATGAGCCTGTCAATTTAAAATCAGAAAAATATATGCAAATGATCTTTAAAGGATCTGCTATGTTAACTAAAGTAGTATCTCATTTAATTCCAATTCATTGAGTTATAGTATTAACATTAAATAAGGTTCTTTTGTGCACTTTTTTTAATAAAGGAGAGAATTGAATATTAGGTCTCTTTGGGCTAATACTAGTTTGGACAATAGACACTGAAGGTATATACTTTTTCTTTTATTAAGACCATGTGGAAGGTTGTGTCTTTCTTGCTTTATGTGAAAGTAGTGTAGCTTGGTGTGGGCTCATGACTGACTGCTTGAGTTTGTAGACTCAACTCTGCCATTTTCTAGTCCGTTGACTGTAGGCAACTGATTTACTCCCTTTAATTTTCAGTTTCCTCTGAATTAGGGGTGATAATAGTATCCATATCAAGAGGGTTATTTAAAAAATCAAAGTAAATTTTATCATCATTGCTATAATATGATTAGATTGTTTTTGCTCTACATCTAGTAGTTATATTGTTTAAGCAGAATTTTTTTTTTTTTTTAAAGAAGATGTTGGGGGTAGGAGTTTATAAATTTATTTATTTCTTTATTTTTGCTGTGTTGGGTCTTCGTTTCTGTGTGAGGGCTTTCTCTAGTTGTGGCAAGCGGGGGCCACGCTTCATCGCGGTGCGTGGGCCTCTCACTATCGTGGCCTCTCTTGTTGCGGAGCACAGGCTCCAGACGTGCAGGCTCAGTAGTTGTGGCTCACAGGCCTAGTTGCTCCGCGGCATGTGGGATCCTCCCCGACCAGGGCTCGAACCCGTGCCCCCTGCATTGGCAGGCAGATTCTCAACTACTGTGCCACCAGGGAAGCCCCCAAGCAGAATTTTGAGGGATGTTTTTACATTAAAAATGAATTAGTGTTCTGAGCTCTCAAAAATTGAATAGCATAGTGCTAACCAACTGATCTTCCACTCTACACTGGAAATCAGTAATCATCTGCATTGTCTAATCCTCATAAGGACTCTGTGAAGTAGGCAGAGTAGTACTCCCATTTCACATATATTGACACTGAGACCCAAAGAGGGAAAAGGAGCCCCCAGAAGACAAGGAAGAGCCCAGAGTTGAGATTTTCTGACTCACAGACCTGGCAGCACCTGCTCCACCGTGTCATACTGGCCATGGTATGCACAGGGCAATTTCTTTCTGGTCGAATTTAACCTTTAATTCCTATATGCTTCTCTGGTTTCTCCTTTGATCAGGGCTGGGTCCATCATCCCATTCCAATCATCCATGCTTTTCCCATCAACCAGCTGTGCTGGTCAGTGAACTTTCCCACTTACACATGTGGGCACATAGTGGCCCTTTGCTGAAGTGTCTGCCAACCTTCAATGCTAAAATCACATTCTTCACCTTTCATATAGTGTATCTTAATTTACTGCATGCAGTACGCTGTTTAAATTTTAGCCTGTTTTAAATCCTGAAAACCATTTGTTCTCCCTCATATGCCTATACATATAAAGCTGTTTTGCATTTCAGTTATTTGGCTAATTGTCTTCCCCCTATGCTTCTATTATTTATCTTAAAACCTCTTATAGTACCCAGCATAATGGCTCAAAAATGGAAGATAACTAATGGATGTGTATTGAATAAATGAATAATAAATAAATGAGTTAATGATGTAGCAGGCAAATAGGTACACATTTTTAATATATATTTACAAAATGAGCTTGGGGGAATACATCATAATGCACAGAAACACCTCCCCTTGTTGGGATATTTGAATGTAGCCAGCGACTTGCAGATTCAGCTTGCATTTCACTCATCAACAATTTTTTGAGCTTTTAAAAATAGGATTCTTTCTCACTTGTCCTTGGGTCTGATCTCATTAATATCCTGGAAATGAATTTGCTCTCCTTTATGTGCACATTTACTCTTACAGCCACAGAGATAGGGCAGTCACAGAAAATCCCCTGAATGTCAAATAGGTCAGAGAGCCAAGGCCAGGGCCCGTTGGTGGCAGATAGGCAGCCAACCTTTTCCCAGGTGGGTCAGGATGCTCCTGCCCAGGGCAACATCCTAATCAACTGGTTTGTTTCACAGATTCCTCAATACAATTTAGGCGACTGGTTGGAAAACCCTCTTAGGTATGGCACAGTTGATTATACTATCTAATTCAAAATGTGGTCTTAGAAATTGGATGAATTATCCATTTTTTTTTTTTTTTTTTTTA